TTCTGGAAAAACTTAAATTTTGTGGATGAATACAAATTTAATTTATTTGCGTTAGTCGAGAGAATAAACATATGGTTAACACCGAATGAAGATCTGGATCCAAAACATCTTTAACCTAAAGTGAACTGTCGGAGTTGGTTATCTCTGCTTCACGGAAGGAAATATGTACAAATTTTTATATTTACAAATATTTCTAGAAAATCTTTGACAAAGTTTCAAGACTACCATCCAAAGCATTCGGGTCATATCGTATGAGAATGGTTTTGTCCTAAAGTCTTAAAAATACTCCTGCAAACTCTTGATGCAAATATTTTTGAAAATTTATGACATAAGTGGCGGCTGCGACAGATGAGTGGGTAGAAATGTTTACTAATTCAACACCACTTACCAGAACAGCTGAGCAAGACGGCTTACCGACGTGCATTAAACTCCATTCACCGAAAATCTGTCAACATATTACCGAACTCTGTTCCAGTGAGTAGCAGAGTCAAACCAACACTAACTGCCGACAACGGCCTCCAGCTGCCAAGAGAGTCCCGCATAATACTAGCACTGAACATTACAGTCGACTAAATTCAACCCCACCAAAACTTAATCCCGACATAACAAACTTATCTTTTGCATGCTATGAGACCCCGCACGACACTAATCTCCTCTTTGCGTGCTCCCTGAAACCAAGTAATGTAACTTCCCTTTCTTTCTTGTCCAACACCTTCAACAGCTCGTTTCGTTAAAAACGCGACGCTGCCAAATTATACTGCTAATAAATGTATGTATATCCTGTTACGACCAACATTCCCTACCGAGGGTTGACATAAAAATCAAAATCTCTTCATAAAACAACCATCAGCCATTTGGAGGCGGCTTAGTATATACTGTAGGTTCCTCTATTTGTTAGAAAAACATCAAGATGCGAAACTACAAATTGGAGGAGGAAGTCGGCCGAAAATCGCTTCAGCAGTTGCATAGTGCCAGTCATACATACATCTTTCCTAAGGATACAGATCTTCTCCGGTGCATTTAAGTGGCGCTGCATATTTTTTAGGTTGCATACTAATTATTATTACTATATAAGCTTTATTAAACAAATAAATTAAGGAAATTTATATCATATTCAATTATTTATCTTATTAAAACAGCCACTACTATATATTTTCAAACAAAAAAATAAAATAAATCGGGAGACCCGCCTGACACTGGCACAACTTAAATCTGGATATTGTAGCAGGATAAACTCCTACCTATCCAGACTAGACTTCTACATACAAAAGGTATGCCCAGCATGTGGAGAGTCTCCGCACGACACTAACCATCTCTTCAAAAGCCGACCCATTATAACCCCAGCTCCTTCTGGTCCGATCCCGTCGAAACAGCACGTTTCCTGGACCTCCTGTTAGATGACCTCTTTTACTTAGATTGGTAGCTTAGCTGCTACAACAACAATACATCTTATTAATAACGAGATGTCGTTAAACAACCATTTAAATACCTCTTTTCCTTGAAGTAAAATTTTAATTTATTTAAAAATTTGGAGACAAAAATATATAAAAGCAAACTTCTTTTGCTTTGAGTAAGGGACCACTGTTTACTTCAAATGGATTTTCTTCATCACATGCAAACAAGTAATCGAAATTAATTTATACTGACTGTGTATGTACATAAGTATGTTCGATTTTTTTTAGCTGCGGTTAACATTTCTGATGAAACACCCATATTCATTATCATTCTGGAACTTACATACTTTGGACTAAAGTTATTATACCATTTCTGGTTAAAAATGTGTAGTGACCACAAATTTTGATCATAAACTTTATTTATGTATCTATTAAAGTGATTTTCTTATTCCAATGCACTATTCACAAGTAATATCTTAATCTTTAAATAAAAATAATAGATAAATACGTGTATGCCACTTGTTGCTACAAGGTTATTTCGAAAAAGTTTACTCGTTACAACTACGCCGAGTTTCATCAAATAACAGGACCACTTACATATGATCGATAAGTATATTGGCATATAAGTATGCACTTACATAAAAAATGGTGCTAAGAGGCTTAGAGCATTCGACTTTCAAGTATTACACATTATCTTGCTGTTATTGTAGGTAGACACAAAAAACGTATTGCGGGAGTGAAACTTCTTGACCAAATAAGAGCCGGATCGTTCCGGTATAAATAAACGACTTTCGCTGGAGCTTTTGGATTTTAGCCTTCCTCTATGACAAGTATGCATACCCGCAGAGCCAATTACGCATAAATTTTTTTCTACATTGTGTCTATATAGATTGGTAAAATGATTCAAAAAACAAGGTAGTTTAACTCAAATTTTTTTTTTTATATATTAACAATCTGACATAAACAGATTTTTCGACTTTTGCATTATTTTTATGCTATCCATTTCATTTTTTAAAAAGTAAATATTCTATTTTCGAAAAATTTAAAAAATTTATTACACAAAAAATGCAAAACCTTTTAATATAAACAAACAAGTAAAGGAATAAAAAAACGTACACATAAGAAACTCTGCATTGTATTTTCTGAAATCGAATGGAAATATTTTCAGGCGGCTTACCACTTTTTTATAAAAAAAATATATGAAATATTTTTAAAGTGGCAAAACATTGAAGTAAAAATTAAAATTAGATATCTATTTTATTAGATAAAAAAATCTGCCAATGTTATACTGAGTGAAACTAGATTTTTTTGTATCATGATTAGTACTGTTAGTTATTTCACTGCTTCAGATAAGAGTTTTTTATCGGTGTAACGATCTTTGTTAAATACTGTACAATATAGATGTTCGCCATTTCCTATATAAACCAAGCCAAGCAACTTATTGGATGAGTGCATAAGTTCGTGCCCGATTTCAAGTGCAAACTAAAATTGAAATTTTTTGAAGAAAGCGCTTTTATTAATCAATTATATATTCGCCATCATGTTCGGCAATCCACTCCCAACGTTCAACCAATTTACGGATGCCTGATTCATAGAAATCGCGCAGTTTCTCGTTGAAAAAGGTGTCAAGGTGGTTTTTGACGTCTTCAACTTTTTTCCATTCAAATTGTTCTGCAACGAAACCAATGATAATCAGAAGGTGCAATGTCGGGTGAATATGGGGGATGCGGCATGATTTCCCAATTCATCTCCTTCAGTTTGGCCAGAATCGGTTTTGCAACATGTGGCCTGGCGTTGTCATGATGGAAAAGAACTCCTTTGCGATTGGCCAAAATCGGACGTTTTTCATCAATTGCTTTCGTCAATTCGACCAACTGCTGACAATACTTGTTGGCAGTGATCGTTTCTCCAGCTGGAAAGAGCTCAAAATAGATCACGCCTCGATCCAAAAAAGGTTCGTTTTTGATCCGTCGAAGCAAAGAAATTGCTGTTGACATACGGTCCACTATGTTTTTTCACTCAGCTGATGTGACACCCATGCATCGAGCTTCAAAGTGTACCCAACCTTTTTTAAACGGCGAAACGCAGTTGATTTCTTGACGTTCAATTTACTGGCAACCTCCTCCGTCGAAATACGTGAGTTATTCGCAACTAAAGTCCTTAGAACATCGTCATCAAGCTCAGAAGGCCGTCCACTGCGAGGTTGATCTTCGAGGTTAAAATCTCCAGAACGAAATTTCGCGAACCATTTCTTTACTGTGCGGAGTGCTGGAGCACGGTCCAAATAAACTTCGCGAATATCTTTAGTTGCAGCGCCTACTGTTTTTCCTTTGCGGAATTCGTATAACATAATATGACGCATATGATCTTTTTCGTTGTCCATCTTCCATGCGTCTTTTCACTAAGCAACTCAAATCAAAATGAAGTTATTTTATGCTTGATTTACAGTTCGGACTGTCACCTTTCCAACGATATATAATATGTATATATTTCTTTCACGAGCGCCACTCTCAAACGATTCGAACGGCATCCAGCGGAATCGGGCACGAACTTATGCACTCATCCAATATGAGCATAATATTAATATTAATATTAATAATAATGATAATAGCAACATCAAGCCAAAATATCTTAACGAAACCGAATACTCTATTTAAAAGATCAAAAATTAAAAAGGAAAATTCCAATTGGTTCGTTCATCTACCATTAATGGCAATTTACACTTATTTGCGATATATCACTTCGCAATAATACGGTTTTTACCTTAAATATACCTATTATATTTTCTTTAAGCAAACGTGCGCTTGTGAATAAAGTTTTAATTGCAAAAAACAAAATCACATACAAGGATATTTGTGTCTTTGAAAGACCAAAGAATTCAAACATTGCATCGTAACTGAACTGTAAAAACACTTGCCGCCTGTGATATTATCATCCAAAGTTTATTGACCGAGAAAGAATGAACGTTTCTGAATCACCAAGGTTTAATTCAAAATTAAAGTTTTTCACTCTATTTCAATACAATTACGCTTCTACAAAACTAATAAAAAAAAATCTTGTTATCAGACCCAATCACGCATTGAATACTTTTCAAACTCTCAATCTAATCATCGTGATTTTGTAACAATGCTATAAAATCATTTTATTTTTATAATTTTATATATGTCAAAAAAAAAATGCGAATTGTCGAATATTTTTAAATTTGCGCCACCTTCAAAATGTATACGTCGATGCTTGACGTACGGAGTATGAGCATTTAGAAAACTTGAACTTTATTTTAGAAATGTTACATAAAGCATCTGTTATATGAGGATGTATGTCCAACTAATTAGCTACGTATACTTATAATTTTTATTGTTCATTTTTTTGTATTTTGGGTCTTAGTCAACCTTGGAATGTAATAGCAATTTTTTAATTCACTTGCTATTTAACTTATTAAAAAAAAAAAACATGCTTCATCATATGAAATAATTGGAATATCGTTGGTACTTTGTTACCGTTTAAATTGATCAGATACACCATCGAATAGAACTAACCTACATTTTGATGAGGCGTATGAAAGCGTATTACAAATATAAATATTGACTATGAAATTATATTACTCACCCGTAGGAGCCACGTCAAAACGCTTTCCCGATAAGGTACAAACCCTGATCCGTTTGTTGTGCTCTTTTTTGCATCTGCTAGGGCAGCAATCACTTTGCCCAATGTCAATAGGCTTTTATTTATACTAACACCTTCACGAATACGATCCCCATTCGAACCAACCGTTGAAATACGCTCACTTCCAGCTAAATCAACCAAACTTATCCTACTTCGGCGAGTTTGATTTGTAGCATATGAATCCGTTCCGGTTTCATTGCATGATGATTCACCATCGATTTCCATCAAATTCAAAACAATATTGAATATAGAATGAGACCGTGAACTTTTATCATTCATACCAGTCGCAGCTGTTGCACGTTGAGAGTTACCTACTGCAAGCCAATTACGCATAGCTTCATAGGAATCTACAGGGTGAATGCTGAGATCCACCACGTAAGGGCCCCAAATGGGATGTTCACGTACTTTTAACGCTGGTCGACTATTTCCAATCGTTGTGATTGGTGTACTGGCTGCATGATTATTCCCTATGCTATTATTGCCTTCGGATTGTGTCACACATAGCAAATCATGAATTTTCTCATTATATATTTCAAAATAGCTTATCTCGATTTCCGCTCGGATAGAATGTTTATTTCTCTCCAATCTGTTAAAGATTTCTCTGCAAAAACGAGGTATTATGCCGGCTTCTGGGTGAGGTATACTACTTCCGGAAGCATCGTCATCCAAAGCCTCTATACCCATCATACTGTGCGATTTTCCGGAACCGGTCTGCCCATATGCAAAAAGGCAAGCATTATATCCTTGAAAAGCTCGATCAATCAACGGAATAGCCGTTCCGCGAAAAACTTCTTCTTGGTTTGCATAGTTTTTACTATCTGGATCAGTTGAATCAAATATATGGTCATAAGTAAAGGAATGTGTAAGACCAGCTGTAGCGTCCGCATTCATTCCGGCAAAAACAGTCAATTCATTTACATTAACACGCACTATATTTGAAACTTTCGCTAAAGAGCACTCTTGAGTGTTCAGTGGACGTACCCGAACAGCAACTGTGAGGTTGCTGATTTCCGTGTCCTTAAGATCTTGTACTTGAATTGACGAAGCCGACTCTAATATTTTAGCTTTTGTTTTGGTTGCGGAAGCAGTTAAATTATATGAGCGTCCTTTACTCAAAGGAGTCGACACTACATTGCGAAATAATGAAGATGGAGTATAACATGCATTAAAAGCTGTTGAACGCGGAGTAACCCTGGTGATATTATTCTCAACATGAAATCCTTTGTTTGGTTGCGACTTTGGTGCAGAGTCTAATTTGTGAACGAAACGATGTCTCAATCCACTTGGGGTAAGTCTAGCTGGCGTATTCTTTATAGGAGTTGAATCTCCATTTGTGACTTCTGCGCGAGCACGCGCTGAAGGTCCCTTGTTATTCATACTTAATTTATTATAATCAATCTTTAACAATAATTCAATACAAAAGAAAAAATTAAACAACTTAACGTTTAAAAGCAATTCGCGCGTTGTTTTTTCGAATGTGACAAATATATAAATATCGATAACATTTACAGTGAGTATTAAGGCGAAATAATAAAAGGAAATCGCTGGTTCAGTAATTTCTCCTCCTTTAATTTGCCGCGGTGAATATTGTTGCGAAAATGCGAGGCGAATGTCAGATGAAAGAGAGAAGCCGATAACTAGTACGATAAAACAAGAACCCTCCATAGCGAACAATTCGATGCTTCTACGCTTTCGTCTGCGAGCAGCCGACTGCTATATAAAGGCGACACTCAGCTGCAAGTCAAGCAGTGATAAAGCAAATTGGTTGGCGTTAACATCAGTGAAGACGTAAAGTGAACGCGTTGGGAATTACATTTAAGTAGAGGAAATTGTGAAAGTTGATGTTAGTGATTATAAATAGTAAAGTGCAGTATAATTGAATTGTGAATTACTGAGAAAATAAAGGACATTAGATAGAATCTTTATAACGAAAGAAACTGCAAATTAAGTTGGCGAGTTTTATTTAACAATCCAGAGATCGTACCCGAAGGATCTAGAAAATAATCGAGGTTGATTCAGTAAAATCGTAACAATATGCATGAAAGCGATCCCAGCAAGAACACTATAAGTCTTAGTTTACTTAGGTTACTTTTGTCGCTTATTATCGTAATTTTCTTATTAGTGTCGCCATTCACCTTCCCACAAGCAATTCTTTTGACATTTGTTTTTTTTTCATTCGATCTCAATTTAAATCTATCAATTTTTCGTTCGCTTCGCGCTTTTTAATATATCTAAAATAAAAACGCCATGTTTGTGTAAAGGAAGACTAAGCTTTTATTTATCTATTTCTTTTAAACATTTTTACACTCGATTAAAACTCAACTCTACCCTTTCCAAAGTGTAATCTAATTACATATCCCTGCCAAAACACTCACAAGGTTTCGGGCAGCACTAGCAGATAAGAAAGTTGTTTTATTTATCTTTCTCTTCTGACTATATACAAATTAAAGACAATTCAGTTGAACAGATTAACCGATTTATTTTGTTCTTATTTTCGAGTAAAATGCCATTTCGCATCGTTTTCTCCGCATCATATAGAATTGAAAAATATATAATGAGGATCCTATACAAGCTGTGGTAATAATATATTGTCGAATAATTAAGTACTTAATTTTTCATTGCTTTTTGCATTTGTTTATTTAAGGGCACTCCATACTGTACGGAAAATGGAGCATATTGATTGGAATGGACGCTTATCACTTTGCAGCAACAGCAGATTTAAAAATATTCTATAAAACTGTGCGAGGTACAACGGAATTTAGATATTAATAACATTCTGATTCGAATATTAATTTTTTATTTTACTTTAACCTTCAAAGGAGTCGCGATCATGACGGAGGCGTATGTAGAGCTGAGGAGCTGAATTACCAACACATGACATGGTTTTGCTTACAATGTATTGCAGATTTTTGAAAACGAATTTATTGTTGTATTGTAATTTCTTTTGTAGGCTATGCAAACCATGTAAAAGATCTATGTAATATATTGGAATAAAGACTGAATCTTAATAATGATTGTATGTATGTATGTAAAATATGTAGGGCACATTTTTGTCAAAGCCTGATTTTTCTCGGCATCAATGACGAAAATGCACAAGAAAACAAAGAGAGAATGACGTACACTTATCCAAATGTAAACATCACGTCTGTCATTTCCGCATTGAGAAAGTGATGGGGGAAATCGTTCTACGGGCTGACGGGGTATGACATCATGCATTCCTGACATATGTTTTCTCAAAAGATTGGAAGCCCTCTTGCAGGGATCTCAAACTTTTCACTACCATCATAATCAATCTCATCCGCTTCTTCAATACACTATAATATTTCTTGCATTATCTGCAATCTCATGCTTAGCGTTCATCCTCAACACCGTGCAGTATCGTCTTATCAATGGCGATATCGACCACAGGGTTGGGCGCTGCTGAGCTCGAGATGTTCAATATATACATTCCTCCTGTTACAAGTTGCCCAGTTGGATATAGCCCAGATATAGGTGCGCTACTCAGAGCCGGAACCCGTTTGATTTTGTGCAACTTTAACGCGCATCACGATTTTTGGCACTTTAGTCTGTCAAATGACCGTAGAGGAATGGAGCTGGCGGAAGAGAGAACACAATCCCACCAGAATTACCAAAACTCGCTAGGCATAACAGTATAGCCTGGCGACCTATACTAACACTAACCATACAAATCTTGATTGACAGGCCTCCTGATTTTGTTTCCGCGGATCAACGGATATTTGTCAATTTTAAAAAAGCTAATTGGTTCGGCCTTACGGAATTCACCGAAAACGCTTTCAGTACTCTCCCCACTCCATCAGACGTCAATTCGTTCCTTCGGTAGGATCGTCGCTGCCGCTGCCGTCCGCTTCATCCAGCGATTCGCTGTAATCCGTCCTATTTTCCGAAAGAGCGGCGGTTTTAGCATCTAGGCGCAACACCCTTCGTAACGCAGATCCCGGGAATCTCATAATCGGGGATTTAAAAGCGGAGATTCGCAAAGTAGTGTACAATCGCAAGCGAAAAAAGTGGGAGGAGCACTTAAAGCCCTGCTATCTCTCCTCTGGGGCAACCAAGCCCTCAGCTACAGTCCCAGTTTTTACACTGCATCCTTTGGTAGACAAAACGAAGCTTCCTGTACATTTTGATAAACATCAGCACGGTGCTTGATTTCTCTAGGGAAGAGGTTCAGTGGGTCATCGGGATGGCGAAAGCCTCCAAGTCCATTGGTCCTCACGGAAAAAGCATGCTGATGATAAAACATCTCTACAACTAGTCTTTGACCACCGTAATGATACCTGACGTCTGGAAAACGGGCAGGGGGTTCTCGATACTCCAACCGGGAAAACCAGCCAACAAAGGAGAGTCTTATCGGCCGAAAACTCGCCTCTCCCCAGTTGCGAAGACACTTGAGGCCTTGCTTCTCCCGACCTTCACTCCCCATCTTCGTCTAGCAGCACATCAGCATGGCTTTCGAAAAGTGTACAGTACCACAACAGTACTAAACGCCATAAACACACAGCCAGAGAGTCAATGGCCTTACCCAAAACCGACCCTGTGTGCAAACTGTTCTAGTAGCTCTGAATTCGTCCTTATTGCCGCCGGGGTTGCAGAGGTGGGCCATGCCTTACCTGAGGAGTCGAAAATCATGGGTAATATTCCGAGGTGAAACATCGAAACCCTGAAAAATTAAACAGAGGGTTCCGCAGGCAGGTGTCCTCTCCCCGCTAATGTTTAATTTTTTCATTTCAAAACTCCCTTCCCCACCAAAAGAAGTTTCCTTAACCTCATATGCCGATGAATGCACCTTAATGGCGTCTGGCCAGGATATTGATGGCCTCTGTTCGAAAGTGAACTGCTACCTTGCCGATTTTTCTTACTTCTTCACTGCACGACAATTGAAAATACAACCGCCAAGAGCCCCGGCAACCCTCTTCATCATCTGGACGAAGAAATACAGGTTTGAACTGGATGTGAAGGTCGACGACGTAAAAATTCCTACTGTAAACAACCCAAAGACAAGGAAACTTTGCTGGCAACTTGCAAAGCAAATGACCGGCCGGTTGTTGTTGTTGTTGTTGTTATAACCGCAAAAATATTTCCCAAAGTACTTTTTGGGGAATGTTGCGGGAGTGACAATACTTGACCGGATAAAAATCTGGGTCGTTCCTGTATAAAGACCCGGCTGTCGCAGGACTGCGACTGGAGACCTCCTGATGGCGCTGGAGCATCACTTGCACAGTGAAGCATCTATGCTACGAGATAACGAAGTTACCGCAGGGAGCACACCAATAGGCACCTAATAGAAGCTGAACCTCAACCTAGGCACATCAGAAAGGGAGTACTCGACTTAAAAAACACCATCCAGCAACATGTACAACAACCGCTGGGCAGGACGGCTTACAGACAGGCACTGAAAGCTATTCACCAGGAGTCAGTCAACACCTTTAAAGACTCCCTTCGAATCAATAGCGTGCTCGGAGAAAAACCACAACCCATTGCAGACAAGGAGCTCAAGCTGTCTCTGGAGACCCCCGTGACCTTGGCACATCTTAGGTCTGGATACTGTAGCAGGTTAAACTTTTACTTATTCAGACTCGACCCCAGCATATCCAACGAATGCCCTGCATGTGGAGAGACCCTAACCACCTCTTCACATGCCCCCTTAAACCGACTCATCTAATCCCCCTCTCCCTTTGGTCCAATCCCGTTAACACCTGTGCCTAAGCGGGGTAAGCGAACCACTACAATAAGAACAACAGCAACAACAAACACCCAGGCTCTTATAGGACAGATTAATAGAAGGTGATCCTAGAAGGTTGGGTCCGGTGTAAAAGTACACACTATGGAAGAAAAATCTGACTGCTACTCACCTAGATGTCCACGCTGCTAACGATGTCCGGTCTTGATTATCTATGACTTCAAAGCCACGACTGTCAACATTGACAAGGGAGCGGAGTACACGTTTGCTGATCAAAATAAAATCTTTCATCCTACTGTAATCTTCGATGAAAGAGTAAGATGCCCCTGCGGGCCACGGATTCAAGAATTTACCAGCAGTATAGCTTTTGGCTATATTCGTATATTTTAAGAATTATTTCAATAAATTGCAATAATTAACACCCAACAAATCGAAATCAATAACAATGGGACTTGTGTTTGATTAATCAGAGGAATTATTTGTTCTATTTCTTTCGCTCTACATTGAATTCGCCGTGTCTGCATTTCTTATAGAAGTATGGCAATATTTGTAAAGGAATTGTTCATAGAGTACAACCTGCATTAATGTTGTGATGTGACGTGGAGAGTATACATATGTATTTTTATAATTCTGTAATATTAAATAAAAGTTAAATAATGAATACGGCTTCGCTTCATGGTAGTCTAAGTTACTACCTATATAGAATTGCTCTGGGAATAATATTCTGTGGCATCTTACTCTCCCTGCCGGCACTGAGCGTCGGACATAGTGATAATCCTAGTTTCAAATATTCAAGAGAGGCGAATGAAAATTTTGATCCTAAAAAGGCACCATCAGTGCACGACCACCATCACCACCATCACTCACATGACCATGACCATGGACACAAGCACGACCATAATAATTTTGCCCAGCACCACGCTGGACATGAGCACCGCAAGGATAGAGCTCCACTAGGTAAAGTTTATTTGATATTCAAAATGTGTTGTCAAAAAAAAATTTTTTTTTTAGACATGACTAGTATATGGCTACATTCTATTGGATCCACTCTCCTTATTAGTGCCGCTCCTTTCATTTTGTTGTTTACTATACGACTAGACAATAGCGAGGCAATGAAGCCTAGGCTTAAAGTTATATTGGCGTTTGCGTCTGGAGGTTTGTTGGGTGACGCGTTTCTACATCTTATTCCTCATTCCACTCATCCACATACTCATGATGAAGGGCACGACCACCACTCTCACGAGGAAGTACACAGTCATAGTCATGAACACCAACACGAACACAACCATGAACATGGTCATGATATGAGAGTTGGTCTATGGGTACTTGGTGGAATCATAGCATTTCTAGCTGTTGAGAAATTAGTGAGATTACTAAAAGGTAGTGAACATGCCCACATCCACTCAGCGCCAAAAGAATCGAAGTCGAAACCAGCAAAAAAATCGGATGAGAAGACAGAAAGTAAGAAATCGGTTAAAACAGATGTGGGAAGCAATGAGGTTAAAATAACTGGATACCTAAATCTAGCGGCTGATTTTGCCCATAATTTCACTGATGGTTTAGCTATTGGCGCATCATACTTAGCAGGCAATAGTATTGGAATTGTAACAACAATAACTATTTTACTACACGAAGTTCCCCACGAAATTGGTGATTTCGCTATATTAATTAAATCTGGCTGTACTAAACGTCAGGCGATGTTGTTACAATTAGTAACTGCTCTCGGTGCCCTAGCTGGTACTGCACTAGCTTTACTTGGAGCCAGTGGGGACGATGGTTCAACGGCATGGGTATTACCATTCACTGCAGGTGGTTTTATATATATTGCTACTGTAAGTGTTCTACCCGAGTTGTTGGAGGAGTCCACAAAGTTGGGTCAATCAATTAAAGAGATTGTAGCCATGCTTATTGGCGTAGGTTTGATGGTATTTATAGCCAAGCTAGAGTAAAAAGTACATTTGTAAAATAAATGCAGTTACTTATCTAATGGAATTTTTCATAAGCTCCTTTTACTTTTTAAGCAGAATTTAGTAATGTTAAAAAACAAAGATGTATATAAATTTAATAAAGCCTTTATATATATTCAAAAATATTCAATAGCTTCGATATTCCTTAATAAAATATACATGATTTAGCAGCAAATAGCGGTTTTGGAAAGTATTAGTAACAAAAAACAGTTGAGCTTTCACCGTCAGAAAACAAGATTAGCAACAAGTGTCCTGTAGAATTCTATGCATGATCGTGCATTAATAAAATAAATTATACTTAAATAAAAGTCAATCATTTAATGGCTAATACAATGAAATGATATACTTGTTTCGAACAAGGATGATAACTTTTTAAGGATAATAAAACAGTATAATTATATTTTGTCTCAGAAGAACTTTCCCTTCTTTACAATTTTTTAATAAATTTTTACTTTTTCCAAAACTATTAGCAATTCAATTCAATTATCTATTTTTTTTTTTCTTGATTCATCATTTTGAAAATGATTTTATTTCATTAAGACAATATTCGGCTTGTTCTATAGCTTCCAAGTTGTTACTTTTTTTACCGATACGCCACGCTAGCGAGCACGCTTCTTTCGCTTTCGTAACTAAACCTTCTCTTAAATAAATCAAACCTAGATTGGCTTGCAAAACCCCTTCTTGCTCAGAATCCTTTAATTCTTTTACCAAATCCAAAGCATCCGTCAAATATTTTTTAGCCAGTTCATATTCCTCCAACTAAAAGAATAATTTTAAATGAAAAATACTTCGTTTTTAATATGACTATATCTATAACAGTGTTAAGAGTTTAATTTCATTTAAATGGACACTTACATTTACACATGCCACGCTAAGATTATTTAGAATAGTTATTGATTCTTCGTTCACACGTCCATATGCTTCTACTAATGAATCATAAGACTCTTGAAATGATTTTTTGGCATCACCATATTTCCCCAGCTTCATTTGCAATTGACCGAACCTACATATGAATGTATAAAAAAATAAAAGCTTGGAAATATTACATAAATTGTAATTTCCTTCTTAGTTACCAATTTTTAGTAAGACCCAGCAACTCTTGCATATCTTTGTCGTTCGGCGTTTTATTCACATTTTCTTCTATGCGTTTCAGAGTCCATGTAAAACCCTGCATTGCTTTATCCAAATCTCCTTGTAATTGTGCCATGTGTGCCAATTTAGCACTAATATGCATTATCTAAAAGGTTTTGACTAAATTTATTCCTTAATAGAAATGCATAAGAACCACCGACAATTTTGAAATTTTTAATATACCTGGGAGCTATCTTCAGTGTAACCATCGTTAAACAACCTTTTCATTACATCAGCAAAAAGTTTTTCAGCCTTTTTATATTGCTCCCTTTCCATAGCAAGATTTGCCATCACATCATAAATATATGTTACTCCCTCTTTACTATGTAAGTCCTGCGCCATACGCAAAGCTAAATGTAACATTTGTTCAGCTTTATCAAGTTCTTGGCGTTGTATACATAGTACCGATCGTTTAATTGTAGTTATTAACTTGTCTTCCGGAGTTTCTTCCTCCTTGGTTTTCCCAAAGAATCCAAATGAAAATGCACCACTAACAATAACTCCTATTCTAGGAGTCTTCCATTTAAATTGTTTCTGATATTGTTCTTTCTGACTTGTCTCATTGAGTAGGACCTGCTCCATTTTTCTCCATGATTTCCGATCCTCGTTACTGTTTGAGGAAGTTGAAGTTGCGTAAAATCCACTTAGTGTTTGAATTTCAAAACTATGGCGCAAATTCATCACTTTAAAATTTCTAGCCAAATACTGCGAAATACTAAAAACTATTGCCGAATTCATTTTTAATAAGCTGAAATTTTGCAATAACTTATTAAAAAAAGAGTTACAACTTTCAAAACAGCTGTTGGATTTGTTATAAACAAAACCATCTGATTTTTGGGCGAATTCAATAAATCTAACATCTGATTTTAATACACTCAACAAAAAATACTATTTGTTTTTATTAACATCTTCGCCTTATAATTCACAAAATTCTTATCGCTCTTGCAGACGATCAAATACTCTCAAGGCAGCCGGTTCCACGTATTGCAGCTGACCCGGATTTTATCTGGCCAAAGGCTGTACCCCTTTCGGCGACCTAACCCCGTTTAGGTCAACAGGTAACAACATTAATCAAAGTGCACCGACGGAGCAACTCCTCGCAGCTGGGATACTCCAAATCCTTCTCCTCCGGTGAACGCATATTCCATAAGATTGTTGCGTCTGCTGCCGCTCGCTTTATCTCGGCAAGCCGAATCGCGAAAATCGAAGCGGCGGTTTAATCATCTAGGCGGGACTTCATTCGACACGCCGATCCCGGAAATCCCCTCATAGGGGATCTCAACAAGGAGATCAAGTTGATATTTACAAGTGGAAGAAGTGGGAGGAGTACCTCTGCCCACAGTCAAATCAGTCAATCAGTCAACAACTCTAATAATACGTGGCGCGTGGAAAATGGGTAGGGTAGTCTCGATCTTAAAACCGGGAAAATCAGCCAACGTTTTGGCCAGAATCTCTCTTATATTTACGAGCGAAGACATTTTAGGCGCTGCTGCTCCCGTCCTTCGCACACCATCATGGTTTCCGAAAAATGCATAGCATCACAACTACGCTCAACAATCAAAACCGGCCCTACGCACGAACTGTTCTGGTAGTACTAGATATGTCAGAAACTTCCACACCGTCAATCATTCAGTGCTACTATCGGATATTGTGGACTCCTCATGATCGCTGTGACTGAAGAAGTGGGCTGATTGGTCGACAATCATCGGTAGAGTTTCGAGGGCAAACGTCCAAATTCAGAAAGACAACAACAAAAAAAAAAAGGTTTTCGCAGAGTGGTGTTATGATCCCATTGCTTTTTTACTTCTATATCTTGAAGCTCCACTTCCGCTGGAAGGAGTTTCATTGATATGTTATGCCGATGATTGTTCGATATTGGCGTCATGCCAGGATATTAATTGTCATAGAACGGACTTTTCTCCTGCTTGGACGAGGGAGTACTGTCTCGAACTTGATGTAAAAGACGATGACGTAAAAACTCCGGCAATAAATAACCCAAAGTATCTGAAGCCGACTGTAATTGCCACTGAAGTACAGTGCCGCAATAAAAGTTTCAAAAGTTAGCTGCAGCTCCTGGGATAAAGACAAACAAACTTTGCCCGCCCGGTCGTAATTTACGCTGCCCCCATTCCGATGGTGGTCGATCTAGCGAGACAGTGCTGCTGTGATGTTATCGTCAGGAACACCCCAACAGGCATTCACTTGAAGCTGAACTTCCACCCAGCCACTTCAGGAAGGGAATACTAGCCTATATCGACTCCTTACAGCACCATTAACCAGAATTGCTGGACAGGAAGTTGTAAATGCCATTCACCCAGAGCCCTGAGTACAACTGGTACAATTAACATCTGAATACTGTAGTCGCCTAAATTCCAACCTATCCAGACTTGACCCCGATATGCTCAACATGCAATGAGATCCCGCACGTTACGAACAAACTCTTTCAATTCGTGTCCCGGACTTCACTTTAGATGACCTCGGTGAGTTAGACCGATTTTTCCGCTACAACAACAGCAACAAATCTGTGTAGCGTACGTGTGGAGGACTACACAAATAAAATAAAATGTTTGATGAGTTTTTTGATCGTCTCCAGAGGCCATTCCAAGACAAAGAACGCATACCAATGAGAAAGAAAAAAGTTCAAAAAAGAGTCTTTCATTGAGGAAGAATGACCGGATTTCAAATTCAAAATATGATATAGAATAATGAAAACAGTGGTCTGTCCGGCGGCTGGAATAAATATTTTTCCTTTATGCTTCATAAGCTTCATTTAGAATCTATTTTACGGAGAGTTGAATACAAAATGTACCGAAATTCTTGTTATATGCCTGATTACTTTTATTTTTTTTACATAACACTAAGAGTTCACAGTTTTACTATTTTTAATTAAAACATATGTTTTGCTACAGAATACTGAATTGTCATAGACTTAAACTTCGACAGGTGTTTTCTCAATTTCGTTTAGATTTTGCGCTTTTTCTTATTTTGTTTGCATAAAAAAAGAAATCAATTTCTTTATTTCTGAATTTCTTCTTTATTTATAATATGATACATTTAATTTTGGTATTCGTGGACATTGACGTACTACATATGAGCTGAATTAATGTTTTATCAATTTGTTACATTTTTTATAAATAGTAATTTTTTACAAACATTGGGTCCTACAGAGCCATGCAAACGATCATAATTTACTTTATTAAGTTTTGTGTAAGTTATGTAAATGTTTGTGTGTGTTGTTGAATTTGTAAAAGAATAATGAATATGTCTGAAATTATGATATTATGCAAATTACAATAAGAACACATATCTAAAGTGTATGCATGCCTGTACATATAACTATGTATTCTTTACTTTCGATATAAATAACAATAAATATCATCAAAGTTATCGCGATAGTCATAAACACAATCATAAATATATTCTGACGGATATCATCGATACTTTAGATATTATTATTTCCAATAATCCGTTTAACATAATTATCGAAGCTATTGGCATATTCACTGGAGGTATTATTCTTTCTCAATATTTACAAATTACAAGTGTCTAGAGAATGCCAGCTTCTGCAACTTGTTGTTTGTTTAAGAATGACTTTTGCCTGTTTTATTCAGCACTCATTAATATAAATTGATTTTTCTAAGTATGGTCTTCCGGCACATGTGACAAGTGCGCAACGTTTCCGCGCATCGGGAGCATGCACCATGACCGCATAAAAAGGCAACATCACGTGTCCTTTCCATGCAAATACTGCAATAGTGCGTCTCCTCATATTCTTGTATCTTATTTTCCAGATATCTCAAACGATCAGCTGAGGGCACACGTGTTTGATCAGAACTTACTATAACACGACCACCGGCAGCTATGCGCCGTTCTATTTGCACACCACAGCGCAGACACTTCTTCATTCTCAGGCCACATTCCTCACAAGAAATTTGATGTTGGCATGGTTCGAATTTGATTAATTGCAGCTTCTCGTCGCAAACAATACACTCCTGTGGACCAATGTGAAAAGTAGCATGAGTAGGTGGAGGCGGTGGCGGTGTCGCTTTGGGACTCGCCTTAGGCGCTGGCACTCCTTCGGGCTTTCGCGTCATTTTGCGATTGCTAGTTGATTGAGTAACACCTGAAGTCGATGGGATCGCTGTCATATGCATATATTGTGTGTCCAGCACATTGCCACCATTACCAGCAACCGATGCATTCACCGCCGGCGTTTGTCGGTCAGAATTTAATTTCTTTACACCCGGCTCCACTGTTGAGCTGTCAACATGATGAGTGGGAGTACTGCAATGGGAAGTTGACATCTGTGTAAAATTATTTGGCTGCGAAATGTCATCAGTAACGATATCAGTATCACCGCTATTTGATACTGCAGCTGCCCCAGCTGTTTCACCTTCGTTATCTGTGTTCAAATTCAGATTTTGGATATTATTTTCAACTTCAACTGCCGGATTGGAGTTACTAGCTTCGTTAGTACTTGATGGTGAGGGTGTTGGTTGATATTTTAAAATTAACTCTTTCATATCTTTATTTGTGATCCAACCAAATATATTTGTGCCTTTATTATTTTGTTCAACGCGACAACCACACGATGATAAATAACAAAGAATTGTATACATAAGACGATCGTCGAGAATATGCGCAAGGTTATCGAATATAGATCGTATTTTCGGAGAATCCTCACCAGATGGTTCTGCCGCTTGCTGTAAATTTGTTTTCTTAATAACACACAAATGCATTGCGTTATCGCCATCTTCATCCCTGGCCATAATATCACAGCCAAGTGTAACGAGACGTTCAATGACAGATGCATGCCCCTGTGAAACAGCTAATAGAAATGGTGTCTGCCGGCGGTTATTTCTTATATCAATCTCTGCTAAGCCCTCAACTATTAATGTTTCAACAACGCGCGCGTGTCCGTTTAAAGCAGCCAAATGCAGAGCTGCAAAACCATCATCTTTTTTGACATTGACTAATTGCCGAGCCAGTTGCAGTATACGTTTAGCCGCTACAACATTGCCCTTAAGAGAAGCATGGTGTAAAACATTAAATCCTCGATTATTTTTTATAAGAAAATCTAGATTCGGTGCATTACATAGTAGTTCGACAACTTCGGTGTTTTCCTTGCCGATTGCGTCATGCAGGGCCGTGTCACCGTAGGAATCTTGAATATTTACATCTGCTCCGAATTGTAGTAGTTCACGTACACAATGCGGCGTTTTTTTGTGTGCACATATGTGTAATGCCGAACAGTGACTTGAATTAAGAAAATTTATATCCGCACCATTTTGCAGTAAAACACGCATTGTTTCGGGTTGATTACCAAAAGCAGCATAGTGAAGCGCTGAATCGCCCTCCTTATCAACAACGTTAACATTGGCGCCTTTGGTTATAAGATATTTTACTAGGTCAACATAACCCTGATGGGCAGCTACTTGTATGCATGCCTTGCCACCACTCATCACATTTACTTGCTCGGAGTGGGCATCTAAATATTGTTTTACGAAGTCTAAGTGACCCTGTGCCGCTTCACGTACCAGCTTATCGGCCACAGATGTACCAGATAGACCCGATAATGGTGTCATAACGTGATCTGTACGCCTATGACTTAAGTCCATCATGCTGTTTGAACGTTCTGCTGCTGTGGCTAATGGCGAACGTTCTAATCGGACGCATTTGGGGTTTAATGTCCATTCGAATCCGTCATCGAGTTGCTGTATGCGCAGGTCGCCGTCCGAATATACCTTTATCACTTTACAATGCTTTCCCAAAGCCTGAAAGTTCAAGTGCGTGATTATTGGATAATTAACAGATATTAATTGAAGAAGTAATTTGTTTATCTTACATAACGCATAAGATCGATCCATTCACCATGTCCTTTCTGCAATTGTTGTACCTTGTTCGCATCGTTTATTATAGTCACTAAATCGCCAACGCGAAATGATATAACCTTTACAAGCGCCGCCGGGTGGAAGGTCCATCGATTGGGACAATTATCGTATTGGACGCTGATTTTTTAAAATTGTTATTGTTAATAAAATTATATATATATATATATTGTATTATAAAATTTACCGTATGTCGCCCTTATCTGTTATGCGATGAACGGTGCCCCATTTGGGTAATTGTTCTACCATTCGAGGATTCCAACCGCCGTGGCCTTGTTGTAATTTCATTAGCGCATCAACATCAAGGCAAACTTTTACGCGATCGCCTACTGAAAACATTGGTTTCACAGTAGGCACCACAGGTTGCTGTTCTTCCGTTTGACCTTAAACAAATAAATTAAATAAGGCTTAAAAGATGATTCCCATAGACCAAACTTACCTAAGACAGGCATATGATCTTTGTAATAATATCCTCCGATTGATGGAAAAGTACACTTTAAATCGACGTTACCCTTATGACCTAAGCGATAGACATTCGTGGAACCAGTAACCCAAGAAACATTTGCTACACTTCTACAAGATTCATTGTCCCATCCGCGAATTTCCATAACACGCCCAGTTTTACCTTTTGAAACAAAAAAAAAAGTATAAATGTCGAATTAATATGTAAATGAATATCATATTTATAAATTACCTTCACCGCCGTCTTGCTGACCCCACTCCCAATCTGGTCCACGAACAACTTTTGCCCCGATGAATATACCTTTAAGCTGAATTCGCTTTGAATTCTTTCGTGGAGGCACACGAACACTGAAATTAAGAAAATAAGTACTTAACTACACTGAACTAACAATTAATTATGGGGAATTATCAAATGAATTCAATTGAATTACACCGAGGGGTGCAAGAATTTTCGGTCATCTTGGAACAGTTGATGGATTTTTATGAGATGCTCATATTTTATTATTAGAAATACACGTACATATGTATAAGTACGAACTGCAAATGTATTTTAAAAAAAGAGCTTTTATTTCAACGGACTTAAATATTTACGCCTAAAATCATCTTTTTGGTAGGCTATATCAGACATACACCCCACAACAAACATTTAATATGGTGATGAATGGTATGAAAATTAGGTATTGCTGAAAACAGCTCTTCTTGTTCTTGTTTTTTATTTAAATGAATTTTAAATGGATGTTGGTGGGACCGGGACACAAATTCTGGCTTCCCTTGGTAGTTATGCATTTTATTTTAATGAAACTTGTACTGGCAGCATGCGTCTTGTTTACTTTTTTTTGTATATAAGCGTCAACCAGAAAGTGGGGTTTTCATAGGAAAACCCGATATTCCGGGTAAGAATAAAATTAGTATTTTTCATATAGATTAATCACCAAAGATTAAGCCGCAAAAAAGATGTATGTAAAGATATTTTTACATCCATACAGTGGGTGACAGCTTATTTGATAAAGCAGCCGATATAAATTTTGAATCCGAATATTTTCTAAACTGATAGAAATATTGAAATCATATTATAGAGTAAAGAATTTCATTTATATGATGTGCTTTATTTATTTAATAAATATTTTATTTTCAAATATGCAATATGAATATAAAATCAAAATTACTGCTAAATTTCAGATTACAAATTATTTGATACAGATATTTTTCCATCACGAGGCGCCAGATTGTCGAACCGCATAACTGTATTTTATTTTGGAATGCATATGGGTGTCGTTCATGATTAGTTTTAAATATTTTTTTGTGTGTTATAATAAACCATAGAGAGTAAGTGCGTTTATAAAAAAAAATGGGTCGTCGTACAAAAATTGAAGGTGTACTGGTCATAAACCATTTTAAAAATTGTAAATCGCTTTGAAAAGTTGGTGAAATTTTGAAGCTAGTGCCGCCACTGTACAGCACATCATTGAGCGATATTTACATGAAAATTGAGTGGAAAATAAAAGCAGAAGTGCGCCAAACAAAATGTTTAGTGCTTCCGACGAGCGCTATATTTTTCGAAGGTAAACCCCAAACTATCGGTTCCAAAATTGCTTGTAGATGTTTAGCTAGAATTAGGAATAACATACAGCGCTGAAACTATCTGCAGCGTACTCCGCGAAAAAAAAACAAATATGTCGATTAAGGTTCGCTTTGTAAGACCCATGATTTTTGGGACACGGTTATAATTTCAGGCGAGTCAGCGGCATGTCTTAAGTTTGGCGAAAGAAGAATAGGGAGATAAATAAGGAGAAGCGGAGAGTTACGGTTGTTGTTGTTGTAGCGGTTCGCTAATCCTGCTTAGGCACAGGTTTATTCAGTCTAAGTCGCCGAGGTCATCTAGTGGTAGGTCCAGGAAACGAGCTGTTTCGACGGGGTTGGACCAAAGGGAGAGAGGGGTTAGATGAGTGGGTTTGAGGGGGCATGTGAAGAGGTGGTTAGTGTCGTGCGGGGACTCTCTACATGCCGGGCATATGTTAGGTATGCTGGGGTCTAGTCTCTCACGACAGCCGGTTCTAAGCACCGGAGTTGGCCCGGCTTTTATCCGGCCAAGGGCTGTCACCCTTTCGGCGACCCAACCCCGTTTAGGTCTACAGGTAACCTTAGGGGAGAGTTACGGTGAAACATGGCGGTCGAAGTGTGATAATTTGGGTTGTATGTCCGCAGCCGGTATAGGAAATGTAGAGTATATTAAAGATTCTGAGAAATAATTTCCTGTAACGTGTCGAGAATCTTGGTATAAAAGAAAAACTCCGCTCTTACCAAGATAACGACCTAAAAAACAAAGCAGCAGTGGTTCAATCGTGGGTCATATGGAACTGTTCCCATTTGATGGCAACCCCGGCACAGTCACCCGATATGAATGTTATTGAAAATTTGTGGGCTTTATTAGAGAAAAACATTCGAAGCCACAAAATTTCTAACAATAAGGAATTGAAAAAGCCGCTACGAGAGGAACGGCTGAAAATTAACCCAGAAGCCACACCAAAGGTGGACAAATCAATGCCAACCAGGATCCAGGCTCATGTTAAGGAGAAAGGCTTTCACACAAAATATTAGAATTTAAGATTGAAAGTGATTTATTTATGTTATTTTAGAATGAATTGAACTGTATCAAAAAAGCTGTGATCTGAAAACTATTAGTAATTTTAATTGTAAATATATATATTTGAAAATTAAATATTTTTTAAATAAATGAAGTATATTATATATATGAAATTCTTTACTCTATAATATAGGGTTTAAATTTTTCCAATCTTCCTTTCTGCTTAGAAAATATTGGGATTCAAAATTTATATCGGTTGCTGTGAGAAATAAGCTGTGACCCGATATGTGATACCGCATACATATGTACATAAAAGGGGCATATCTTGCATAAACAAATAATATGTTTCATTGATGACACTGTTAATCCACTTTAAAAGTTCTGTGTTGTTCACATGTATGTATTTACTAATAAAAAATGTATTTAAGACTCTAAATCTAGTATTTACCCTAGTGACGTCGGCGTTGTATAACGGATAAATATATGCTCGGTATCGTGTAAATCAGCACCGTAACAATAAGCACAGAGATGATAATTAGAGCATTGTGCACATTTAAAAACAATACCAGCTATGCCGGGCTTAGAGCAGCCATCACAAACTACATTCGAATGACGTACGCCTAAAATAAGTTGAAGAAATATATGAATTAGTTTCTTAAAATATAATAATTATGACTAAGTACATAAAGATATGATTTGATAATACATAAGCATCATTAAATAAGGTGGCCTAGAGCGTAGCCTACATGGTACCACTGAGGGAATGATATACATTTTCACCGATACTTTACATATACTATATATATGTATACATATTTACGTCACTCAAAAACAAAAAAAAAAAAGTAAATTTAACTTCTATAAAAACTCCTGCACTCCTACTATGCCAAGTGAGCCTTTCATGTGCTATATTTTTAATACATTTAATCTACTTTTCGCCAAATTTTAGTAAACTTTATTCAATTATTTGACTTGATGTGACTTTTGGTCAGTGACCGACCTATCTTCACGTTCTCAAATTTTCAAACGATGTCAGGGCTGGTCAATGACGGAGGTAGTGTTCAATAGTCTCATCCTCTTACTTGTCCCTGCAGCTGCGACAAATATCATTCAGATATTAACTATGCTTAGCTTAAATGCATTAGTTACAAAGCCGGTCGGGTCTTAATATCAAAAGAATGTCCCACTGTAAAATTCTTCAAAAACCAAATTTGTGATTGCAAAAAAAAAACTATTTTGGGAAAATATTTTGAACTCATTACACACAAGTGGATAATATTTTTAAACTTGTTTCTTTTTTAAATACATTTATTTCACTATTTAAAATATTTGAGAAGGAATTCTCGTTTGATAGAGCTGCACTAATGAATTTTCGAATTTTGACCAATAGATGATACCTTATTATTATTTTTCCCATGCCACACCAGTATTTACATATGTACATATGTATATTAATACAATAATTGATTTCAAGTGTTGAACTACTTACCAACTTGCGCGTTATCAACAATAATTAAATCGTATTGATTTTGATAACCAACTCGATAATTCGTTCTGTGTCCAGAATCCCAATTGACTACAACTGTATTTTCGGGTGAGTGTGTCGATCCAGAGCGTCCAATCTCACAGACAGTACCAACGTGACCTTCTCCGTCGTCTATAGAAAGAGAAAAGATTTTCGTATGAGCGATTTCAAAATATCGAAAATGAAATTGGATGGAGAAAAAATGTTGAGTTTATACAACAATACTTATAAGTATACGAAATATATGCATATACCCCTATGTATTAACGTGTACATACTTAAAAGAATCTATATATGTAAGCAAACAAAAATTTTAAATATACTTAAATCGTGTGCTTGTTTGTACATGCACACATACCAACGATATTTTTATTCATACACGTTGGTATTAAATCGCTTTTCCAGCAGATGGTTTCCATCTCGGCGAGTGTACGCACACGTAACCTACATCCGAAAAATCCAGCATAGCCGAATGATTGGCACACGCTGATTTCCGTTAACAGTTTTGGAAAATTAATTGACAAACCTTACTCAATGCATCTTACATATTTGATTAAAATATTTTCCTCGATTCCAGTCGTACTGATTATTCTACTACATTACCAATTTAAATCCTTTGTTGGCTTTGTGTCTTATATGGATGGTATGCCATTACCAAAAATAATAATTAACAATCTACGAACAAATTGAAGGAAAACATAAAATTTCTGTTTTAGTTGGCAAAAAATTTCAATGTATAGTCATATGCTGCTATTTTCATTTTCAAGACTGTATTTATGTACACGTATGTATGTAACACTCTTGCATCGTAATTTCGACTGATCTGTGTATTACAGTTTACTCAGTCGTAGAAATAAAGTGATCGCCAGCTTGTCTTATACAGAATTTCTGATTACATTATAAAAATAAACTTTTGTATTTGAATCTTCTTGTATGCTTATGATCACTGCTAGCATTTTCAGTCATATTTAAGGGATATTCAACTTCCTTTCTGAGTTCATGTTTTGGAGTCAACAAATTCCTTTATGTCTCGTTTTTCTCCTACTCTTTATTTATAAGTATGCACGTATTACCCAAAGGCACTCGTGTCATTCTACCCTATCGTATCGATTCTTTTGTGTGAGGCTGTGCGTATTCCCCAACAAAACTCCAAAAATAGAAATGGGCGCGTGTTAATGTTTATTTTCTACTCAAGGATGATGCGTCCCTAACATGAATGCAAACTATACAAGGTTTGTGTTTTCACACAAGCAGTTTTGATAATTATAAGCAAGGTATCTGAAGTTGTGTATGCGTCTACACACATAAGCACATATGTATGTTCACATTAGTATATTTATATTTTGTACTAGAACTTTTTTGTATTCAAGTGTATTTATACGAAAGTTGATTTTTCTCACATTTGCGCTATAAAATAAGATTATATGTATTTATTAGAGGAAAATAAAATTTTGAACTTTTTTCAAAGACAATCAGCGAAGGCATACATTATCAATTAAATTTGAATTTAAGTAAAAGCAAAAAACCTAATTTGTTCTAATCCAACTAAAATTTTATTTAATAATAATAACAAAGCATTAGTACAATAAGATTTCTATATCTTTTTAAGTACAACAGAGATAGCGTGAATAATAAGTAAATATTACTTTACAGATACATTAACAAAAATAATAATAATATTGTATATTATGAACTGAGTATGACAAAAATTTAAACAATTATTAAATGGTCAGTCTATGTTGGGAATTCGGGCTTTAAAATGCATATATATGTGGTTCTTGAAATTGCTTCTGTTTAATTTCATCCTAAAATTAGCAGGAAGAGAGTTCCATAATCGACTAGCTTTGACAAAGAACATCCTGGCGGACCGAGTAAACGATAACTTGGAAAAAAGTTGGCTAGGAGATTAAGTCATAATGAGTTTGCAAAGAAAAATACAATTTCTGGCTTTATGATGTGATGTGCTCATACTTGGAAAAACCAAAATCATACCGTGTGATATTATTAAACATAACATCAATTTTACGAGCAGACACACATGATAATTGTATGAAATCAGGTTCCTCTCTATATGATCTTTCCACTGTAGTGAATGCTTCCTCTACCTCCAACAGCGGTATAAATTCACTTCAAATCGCTCATCATAGGATGTTGTCATCGTTCAGAATTTTTCGCCATATACATATACAATATAATTAATGAATAGCTGAGTTTGATCCTTGTTCGTAGAGATAGACCTTTGGATTTCATTTTTGATGCTACAACATCCAAGTTAAAACTTTTACATCGTGGCGTTGTTCACCAACGGATATAATCGAGTCGGTTGTTACTTTGCTTTTGTAGTAACGCAATTTTGCTCTTTCTTTTTATTCTCTAAATACTACGCAGGCAAGTAAGCGGCCCAAGTTGATTTTAAGTGAATATGCATGTAAAGCATTGGAGACATTTTTTACTACCATAATGTTGATTTGATTGTGATTCTTTCGATTTTGTGCGGAAAATTACCTCGAAGAAACTCTGGCGTAAAAGTCGGAAAAAAAGGTATGGCTACATGGCAGATGAAGCACTCGGCCGTACATTTCCAGAACTCACTAAGGCGTCGATTGTCATTTATCTTATGCTGTTTGGACTGGTAACTAATTAACCAGGAAAAAGATGAAATTTGACGACATATTAACTTTTATAAAATAATTCCGACACAAAATTTGCTTTACACCGGTCTTAAAATGGTGAAATAATTATAAACATTCTAGTATGACCATAAAAACTATTTTTTCGTGATAGCTAATTTCCTCTAATTTACTATATTTCCCAAATCTTCTACGTACTACTACTGCAGAATGAATGTGCTACATTGTTTCGCCATACAATATTCATAATTGCTTAATCTCACCTTGATTTTGCCATATCCAATTTGGTCCACGTACAACACGAATACCTGGTTGTATAGCTGAACGCATTTCAATCCAATGTGATATTTACTTTATAGAATCACTTTAAATTTGGAGTTGTATAAACGATAGACTGAAACGTAAAATAAATCATATTATGCTTTTACATTTATATTTTAAATATGAATGGTCTAAATCTGGGTTTAAGATAGATTTATGTGTATAACCAAGTATCGTTCATCAATGAATTTTAAAAAATTATTACGTTAACTTCTACACTTACTCTTTATATCTGGTTATCTTTATAACTAAAAATATGAAATAAAGGACTTCTTACAATATGAGCTTCGTTGTTGGGATAGTTGCAGGAGTTTTTAATATGTAAACAATATCCGAATTAGTCAACGAAAGACTATAGGAACAACGTAACCACACGTGTACATACATACATAGATATATAATTTTAACACAATTTTCTTCACAAAGAAAAGTTTTTCCAGTTTTTTTCGTTGCACTGATTACGATATTTTCTTTCGCGTTGCGTGTATTTTATGACGACATTTATTGGTATAATAGCCGGAAAGTTGCATATACATACGCACTTTGAACATTCATTAATTGCCAAGATGGGTAAAACCAACTCAGCCCTCTGATTTTTAGGTTGAGAAACAAAAAATAGTTAGTACAATTGATATTAGGATCAGGATCGCATTCACAGGTCTAATTTAATCACATTAAAATCATTTAAAAAGAATATGGTCACGTTTTGTAATTTTCTTTTGGTTTACTGCCAAAATTGTTGCCTACACTTTTTTGTTTTCTCTTGATTTTTATCTAATAGTTAAAAATGTTTTTTTTTTTCAAATACACATTTTACGCTTTGTACGACCGCACAGCTTGTATTATTGATAATTTTCGGAACCCCTAAGTTTTACTTATATTTTATTTTTGGCTGTGCCTAAAACTTCCTTTATTTAAAGGATGTATTTAATATATCGCAAATAATTCTGAGAAACTAACTAAAAACCGAAGATATAAAAAAACTGTACACTTTGGGTGGCAACGAGAAAATGTCAGATTGTTGTCATACTGACAAAAGTTTCTATCATACCTGGCGTTAAAATTTTATCGAAATCCACTAGAGGCAAGATCGAGGTAAAGTCGATATCATAGAATCGTTTTTCTTGTTGCCTGACATTTCCAACTTTGTTAGCAAAGCGGAAAAAGCCAATGACACCATGAATATTTTTTCTTTAAATTATTATTCTATTTTTACAAGTTTTCAGTTTTAATTACTTCACGCCAGTAGATTATAAACGAGATAGCAACATTGTGCCATTCGTTTCTTCTTTTCGCTGTTTTGGAGCTAAATGGAAATACCAAGATCTTTTATTGACATGATTTGTCAGATTGCAAAGTTCCGAATTTTGTCGCTTACACTAACGCTTATGCGATTCTCTAACTCAGTTTTTACGATAATCGATAACGCATATTTTCATTTTATTAACATGAAGGAAAGGTAGCAAACCACAGCTTAAAAATCGTCAAAATATGCGAGAAGCACCGAGAGGAATGACAAAAACAATTAAATTTGTTGTAGAAATAATTTTTATTAAATGAATACCAATACATTGCAAAGTTTATCAAATCAAAAACATGTTATGGTTTGCACTTTCATGCATGACCTTTCGCTCTATAGAGCTCCAAATAAACCAATTGTGCCGCGCTCTTGGGTACTTAACTCATAACTTCGTTACTTCAATAGTAATTGCAAAAAATGTACTCTCCCCATTTGCTCGTTGGAAGAATTATATTCATGAAGTTTGGGACATAATGGAAAACCTAACCTTCGCAGGAAACATTGAACGGTTGACTGCTTCTGTCACGCGATGAATACTGTTGCGAAAATGCGAGGCGAATGTCAGATGAAAGAGAGAAGCCGATAACTAGTACGTTCTAGAAACGATAAAACAAGAACCTTCCATAGCGAACAATTCGATGCTTCTACGCTTTCGTCTGCGAGCAGCCGACTGCTATATAAAGGCGACACTCAGCTGCAAGTCAAGCAGTGACAAAGCAAATTGGTTGGCGTTAACATCAGTGAAGACGTAAAGTGAACGCGTTGGGAATTACATTTAAGTAGAGTAAATTGTGAAAGTTGATGTTAGTGATTATAAATAGTAAAGTGCAGTATAATTGAATTGTGAATTACTGAGAAAACAAAGGACATTAGATAGAACCTTTATAACGAAAGAAACTGCAAATTAAGTTGGCGAGTTTTTATTTAACAATCCAGAGATCGTACCCGAAGGATCTAGAAAATAATCGAGGGGATTTAGTAAAATCGTAACAATACATTAGCTTGCTGACGACTGACTTATGGATATTCCCTATTGCTCTCCGACGGGACGTTGGTAACATCCAGTTGCAAGGAATCTCAAGGCGGCTAAAACCTTTAAACATTTTAATAGTGTAAAAACTGAACAAATAATTAAAAGCTGTATTACTACCTGTTTCTCCGTATATAATGCTTCTCTGCCTTTTTGTTGGATATCAAGGAACTCAGTTGCATTCAAGTGGAAACGAAATTCAACTTCCGGAAGCAAACTTCTACCCAAAGATGAAGTGTACAATACCTCCTCATCTTGGGATAAAACGTATGTCAAATGCTTAAAAGACATTTTTGTTTATAATTTTGTTTAGATTTTTATATAACTTAGGCAATTTCCCGATTGACTTTACTTCGCTAACAACTTCAAAATATTCGTTGCTTAGTTAGCGATTTGCCGAGCAGTTTATGACAAAAGCGAGGGCGAATGTCTTTAAAATAAGTCTGCTTCCACCGGCGGATACTACATCGAAACTTTCAAAACTAGAGTATTTTTATCTATCAGGACCAAATGACCTAGCCAGCCTAACCGCTGTTTCTTGATTCGCTGGACTATGTCAATGTCGTATATCTCGTACAGCTCATCGTTCCATTCTTCGTTTTCAACTCGTAGAGGACCATACATCTTTCGCAAGACCTTTTTCTCGAATACTTTTAACGCCGACTCATCAGATGTTGTTTTCGTTCATGCTTCCTCACCCTATAGCAGGACGGCACCGATAAGGAACTTGTGGAGTTAAGTCTTCGCTGGTCGGGAGAATGACTTTACTTTTCAATTGACTACTCAGACCAAATTAGAAACTGTTGGCAAGAGTAAATCTGCACTGGTGGATTTCAAGGCTGTCATTATTATTTTTGCTGTTTATGCCAACAATGCCATTAACGTCAATATCTTTTTCTATTCAGCTCTGCAGCGCTTATAATTTTCCCAGGCAATAAATTAAAACAAGTTACACGATAAGGAATCACCCTGAACGGCTCGGAGAGGGCTTTCCTGATCTTGACGAAACTTTTAGTACTCTTTATCGCCAGTTAGTAGTAGAGGCAGCTTCTTTTCGTACTGTCGTAGACTGCTTTAAAGTCGACGAAGAGGAGGTGTGCGCCGATCCTCTTTTGACGGGTGTTTTCTAATATTTCCCATATGGTGAATATCTACCAGGTCTATATGCATACTGATAATGATCCAATCAGTCTTTCACTCAAAACGCTCGAAAGGACCGTATATGCGATATGGAATCGCCCTTTTTGTGGATTGGGCAGAGCACACTTATGTTCCAGCCGAAGGGCATGCTTTCATAAGACCATATTTTGCAAAGAAGCTGAAGCATGCACCTTATAAGTTCTTCACCGCCGTATTTAAATAGCTCGGTCGGTAAACCAGTGATTCCAACTGTTTCATAGTCGGGTAATGAAATGTCTACTCAATAGTTATCGATTGGGATTTCGGGTTCTCTATCTTTTGGTCTTTCCTTGGCACTACCATTTAGCAGGCTAGGGAAGTGTTCCCTCCATGAATTCCGTATATTCTGGGCATCCGTCGCAAGGTCACTTCTGTGGGTACTCCAAGAGTTTGGTACAGTCTTGAAACCTTCCGTAAGTCGCCGTATCTTTTTGAAGAATTTTCGTTCATTACCGTTGTCGGCCAGCTTCTAAAGCCCTTTATACTCACGCATCTCGGTCTCTTTATTTTTTTGTCGGCAAATGCGTCTTGCTTCCCTCTTCAGATCTCGAGATCTATCCCATCCCAGTCTGTTTTTTCTCCAATCGATGATGCAAGCCTTCAGTTTAGTGAGGACGTCAACCAGCTGGGCAGCATCACCTTACCAATTAAGGGACCGGATATTCCAGGTGCATACCATCAAATCGAATCCTTAGTTCATTTCCGAGGGTTGTCACCAAATAAGGGGTATCTCATCCGAGGCGTTGTTTTCCTTTTAATTTTCTACGTGGTTCCAATACCAGCGCAAATATGTTAGACCATACAAGCCATTACCACTTTTTGAAAGAAGTCAAAAATCTGTAATACTGAAGATTTTCCAAATTACTGGTATTAAGTTATGAATGTTTACGAAGAAGGGCAGTGTTGTGAAAATTAAGCTCCTCAATATTTAAAACATCAGTTGAGCAGCGCAAGTCTGCATTCCACAATTTTTTGGAAATTTTTCTGTGGTTTTGAACAATGTTGCACTTACCGTTAAAGAAGCTCAATGCGATGCTTCGTAGATATATAACAGTAAAAGTGGGTAATCGTTCTCAATTGCCATGCATTTCAAAATTGTACAAACAAGCGAAACCGAAAACTTTCAATTTGCGTGCGTTGTGAATGAACGTAGTTCGTATTCGTAATTGAGGGAGCGAATCACGTAATGTGGCTGTCGTCGAAATGCCGTATTAAGTCGAATAAGTCAGAGTGGTTATACTAAAGCTTCCTCTCCTTTAGCCGTGACCTAAGGCTAAACATGGGTTGGTTACCGCATCTTGCACAAGGGTGCTCAGGCTGCACGACGTTTGCCCAAAAATAGGAATTGAGTGTAGCCCCGCGATTGTAACTGCATGGCCATAAGCTTGACACCCCATTTTTTAATTTAACCTGGATTTGAATTAGTTGTGAACTGGGTAATTTTCGATACATAATAGAAAAGTAGAAAAAATCGATTGTTTTGTTTATAGTTTCCCTGCTGTAAGCAATTTTATGGTTTAGAATTGAGTTTTGTTTTATTTTAAATCGAGGAAAACTAAAAAAATACAAAATGGAGAGAGGTGATATGTGTCAAAGCTTAATTGAATGGTTTAAAACATTAAATTTAACAGCACCACATTCCAATTTAGGTAAGACAAAAAAGGGAAAGTAGTTCGCACCATATACTTAATGCTCAAGAGTTTGCACATCAAAATTTTTATTTTTTTTTATTTATAGAAGAACTTTCTGATGGAGTAGCGCTCGCACAGGCATTAAATCAATTTGCCCCTGATGTCTTTACAAGTGAGTTATCCATATATACATATGTATGTACTTAAGTATGACTATTCTAATCAATGAATTATTTATATAGATCTATGGCTGTCTAAAATTAATGCTGGTATTAACTGGCGTTTAAAGATGAGTAATTTGAGGAAAGTGATCGAAGGTGTTTATGATTACTACAGCGACGTATTAAGTTATTCGCTTACTGATTTTCCCAGACCCGAACCACAGCGCATAGCTGAAAAGTGTGACGCTGGCGAATTGGAACGTCTTCTTCAGCTTGTGCTCGGGTGTGCTGTAAATTGCCCAACTGGACAAGATTATATTCGACAAATAATGTGTTTAGAAGAATCACTACAGGCTAATATAATGCGAGCTCTCCAAGATCTTGAGTCGACCTGGCAAGGCGATTTTCCTTCACGCACTTCGCAAAGTATAACAAATTTTGACAATAAAATATTGCAAGAAGAAAGAGATGCTCTGGCGCAAAAATGTTTCGAAGCAGAAAAAAAGGTTTATTGACACTTCCAATTTGCTCATATTTAGTTTAAAATTAGGCTTAAAAATAAAACTGCATCCCTCTGATTTTTTTTGTAGAACGTATTGCTTATCGAAGAAAAATCAAACATGCAACAAGAGATTGCAAAATTACAGCTTGAAATTAAACGTCTGCAGTCTGCAACTACTGAGATTGGAGATGACGGAGTTTCGCTTGGACCTGTACAAGCTGGTTCCGTACGATATTCTGAAGTCAGACGACAACTAGATCGCATGAAAGAAGAACTCATACAGTCAGACGCGTCTAGAGAAGATATGAAACTAAAAGTTCAACAGCAGGAGAAAGAAATACAAACAATGCAGCAACGTATCGATGAGTTAACCGTAAATCAAATTTATTGTGATTTTTGTAACTTTTATTTTTATTGTGAATATTTATTAGAAAACTACTTCCGAGTTAACTCAATTAAAAGATGAGGTGGATGTGCTACGAGAATCTAATGACAAATTAAAAGAATGTGAAATACAATTAGAAACATATAAAAAAAGACTTGAGGAGTATAACGATTTAAAAAAGAGTATAAAAATATTAGAGGAAAGGAGCGCTGATTATGTGCAGCAAATTATGCAATTCGAAGAAGATGCTAAAAAATCTGCAACTCTCAAAGGTCAAGTAGAACTCTTCAAAAACAAGGTTCGTTGTTTATTTTCTTTAAATTTTTTTAATTTAATTGATTAAGCTTTATAACCATAGATTCAAGACTTACACACGCAACTCGATGGAGAAATGAGCAAAAATGTTAAATTGGAGTTTGATAATAAGAATCTTGAAAGCAATATTAGTGCATTACAACGTGCTAAAGAGAGCCTTCTGAAAGAGCGAGATAACCTTCGTGAAGCTTTAGACGAACTTAAGTGTGGACAACTTTCTGGCAGTGAGTGTTTGGACATTTGATATTGTATGAGTGTCGATCAGAGCGAGCATATAAAATGATTATTTATGCACAAATTATTGTTCGAAAATATGAGAACAAATACTTTTTTAATGTTTCAAAATTTTATCGTATAGGTTTAAATGGTAACACTGTTTCTAAAGAACTTCAACCAACAGCTCTTGTGGAAAAAGTACAAAGACTAGAAATGGAAAATAAAGCATTGCGTGAAGGTCAGGGTGGGCAAACAGCTTTAACGGTTAGTAATATTTTCCTAATTGTAAAATAAATGTTTTAAAAAGATTTGTTAACAGCAACTTTTGGATGATGCAAATAAACGTAATGATAATTTGCGCGAGCAATTAAAAGTAGCCAATGAACGAATTCTATCATTGTCACATGCATCGCAAAGTGGTGATCCTAATCTTAAGGAGTAAGTTTTATTGTGTTTTATTTAAGAGTTCTATGACCTCGAGCTGTAAACAATACTTTTACTTAATTGATAGAGTTCTAATGGATTCATGCAGAAATAATAAAACCTTGCTAAATAGATTTTGTTTTGTATATTCATGCATTATCTATTATTTATTTTATTTATTTATTTATTGGTATTATATTAAAAAATATAAAACCTGTATTTTGATATTTATTGAAATTCTATATATTTCAGATTCGAATTTGGTAAACAAATTAAGCAACTGATGGAACTAAATGAACAGAAAAGTAGAATAAAACCACACTTTTTTTATTTTAAACTTTAATGAAAAAAAAAAAATATTTTTTTTTAGCAATACAGCTGGAAGAATCAGTTTCTCAAAATGTCTCATTGCAAAGCAAGATAACGCAATTGGAGAATACTCTTACTACCCGCGAGCAAGATCTCTTGGCTTGTGATGCTAAATATAGAAAATGTGTTGACAAAGCAAAGGAAGTAATAAAAAGTCTGGATCCTCGACTGGCGAATGGTATTATCTAAACTTTTTTTACTCTATCACTACATGCATTCACATTTATTAATTTCTCAGCTATCGATGTAAATTTGCTGGAGAGGTCTCAGGATTCGGAGGACGACCATAAGGCAGGAATGAGCACATTGGAAGAACAATTGATGACGACAGCTTTTTATAGGTACAAAAGTGTATATATATATATATATATATTTTCCATGAACCTTTATAAGCTTGTATTTTATGTCTATTATATAGGTTGGGTGTAAATGCACAGCGTGATGCAATTGATGCTAAACTTGCATTGTTGATGGGACAGGGACAAACATTCTTGGCACGTCAACGGCAATCTGCACCACGGAAAGCATTAACATCATTCAAAAATAAATAGAACTATGAAACTAGATAACATATTTAATATATATACAAAATTTAAATTCTTTGAGAGTCTTCAATGTATTTTTAATCAATTATTTGTGCCTATCAATGTATTGGGTCAATCATTATATATTAACAAATATTAATAATTTATTTTATTTACACACCATATACATTTGAACGTTTTAAATTTTTTAATGTAAATATAATGAAACGGAAAAAAATAATGTGTTATGAGCTAAATGAAAATTTAAAGGTTTTTGCAAAGAAACTTTATTTATACACAGGGTTCAGATATTTTCAGGTACGAGCGCTGAAATATGACCGATGTCTTATGAGCGAGAATTTCGAAATTTTATATTTATTTCTCACAGTCACTTATGAATACAAAAAAATTTACTAGCTATCATAATAATATAGCTCAGCAATTACATATGTATAGTTGTTTTGTTAGAGTGTAGTTCGTTCAGTAAAATAAACCATACAGAAATAAGTTTCAATATTTGTATGAATTAGTACACATTTGTTGAAACAAAACCTTTTGTTATTATACTCTCTTCAATAACAATATTTGAGAAGATCGTAATGAACGTTCCACAGAAACCTGAGTGGCAGGCACGGCTGGTATAGTCTGTACAAGTTCCATAATTTTCTTATCTCTGCCACATGGCTTTCACCAATATTCAAGAACATTGGTAACAAAGGGAAATATTTCCGCTTCATAAAATCTCATTAATTTGTGTTTAGTGCTCCCTGCCAGGCTTTGTGAAATTAGGTTTTTGTGAGCTCATTAAATTTGAACTGAAGATCTGATCTAAGTTATTGTATGCATTCGCTGATGAAGTGGGTATGTCGTCTTGGGAACTGTAGCTTGATGAAAGTGAATTATTATTATTGATTTATTATTCAGTTTTTTTCACCATTTCGTTTACTTTAAGCAAATGATCCTTAAAAAATATATTAAAAATATTAAACATAAATTATGTACATACGTAAAATAAACAAACATCACTGTACCATGCAAACAAATTTTGGTCTTTTCCGTATCAACCCATTTGCACCATGAAATTGGGTTAAGGTAACGAAAAATGTGAAAGTAATTCAGAAAAAAAAATTCCTACTTGTGATCTGGAGTACAAAAAAAAAAATTGGTTTTCACTTTCTCACTTTTGAAAAGCAACGACAAAACATTCTTACTTACTGCTCAAGCATGTAAGAGTAGCAAGGTGTAAAACTAAAACATGTATGAGCAGTGAAGGAGGAAAAATGTACCCTGTTTGGACACGTTACTGTAGCAGGCAATGTAGACCAAACATGGGATCGACTCAAACCTAAATTTTCATGCATTTTATAATCAATTAATCAATTTTTCAGCGGAGCTTCATCACAATTTGTGGTGTGCGCCTTCATGCTTTTGAGAAAATGGCGTACTCACAGTTTTGGATGTTGGTCTGGACAGGACTCGAACTGCGGTTAGCTAGTCTACAAATTCGTTGGACACAGAAATACTCACAAGTTTGAAAGAGTGTAAAATTTACGTAATAAAACCGGTGGTCGCGATGGCCGTGTGGTTAGCAAAGCGCCGCTCTATATAAGGGATAGCTTCCAGTGGCTACCGATCTGTGGTCAATGATGCCAAAAAAATTGACCCTTAGGTTTCGCTCTCTATCCATCATTAGATCCATGACTTTGACGTCGGCTACCTTCGATATCGTCTTTTCAGCAGTAAGACTATAAAATTCTGCAACCCTGTCCAAAGCAGGAAAGTCGGCTGAAAGAACTTCTTCTTCTGCAACTTCTCCAGCATTTGCTATAGGAGCCGCTCTCTGCATGTCGTTCCATCAGACAGTGGCCTGACAGGACTCCCAATACTTCAGGAGGAATAGGAGTACATGCTTCTCTTTTTAAGCAGTGATCTCTTTTTTTACATTTTGGACAGATTTGCGACAGGATCCAGTACCATTCCACTTTGAGAAACAATGTGCAAGTGGCATAACGTTTACCAATGCGCTCTTTATGGAGAAGTATGTGTTATGTCTTTCCTTACCTCAGTTCATAGACACTGTCTATTCTGTTTGGCCGTCTCCTGTAAAGATCGGAAGCAGTACAGCACAATTTTTCAATTTAGCGTAAGCGAACGAAGTGCATTCATTGGTGCCTAACTGTCGCTGAAAATTAAGGTGTCCTTATCTTATTCTACTACGAGTTCTATTTTCCTCAACCCCGATTGCCTACTCCAAGTTTTCATCGTATATATTTTATGTGTTGTATTTAAGTAGCTCATATAACTCAACAACCCGAATAGAAATGCCATGTATACCATATATACCATATATGGATATATGATGAGGTAGACACCACTTACAGGTACCCCTGCGGGTTAGGGGTTAAAGAATTTACCCGCGGTAAGGCATGCCTGTCGTAAAAGTCGACTAAAACCCAATTGTTCTCGCGACAGTCGGGTCTTTATACCGGAACGACTCGGATTTTTATCCGGCCAAGGATTGTCACTCCCGCAACATTCCCCTAAAAGTACTTTGGGGAATTTTTTGCGGTTACAACAACAACAACCACTTACACGATTTTGGCCGAATCAACAAGAGTGCACCATTAGCCATTTCCCTTCGTTGCCTAGCCGCTGTTAGAAACCAGGTCGCTCTCCGCCGTGCGCCCTGATTTGATTTTGGGGGGGGCGGTTATTTAAAATGTTGTCCATAAATAGTATACGATAGACTTGCTTTCAGTTAAACTATTTTCATAACATTCTCGCTAAGATAAACATATTTAGTTAAACAGATTTACCCATACACCACAAATTTAAATGTTCCCTAACTTGTCTGAAACTGCATACTCTGAAGCGTAAAATTATGTCCTTGGCTAGCAAAAAAAATTTAATAAAATATTTTTTTAAAGGTTTCAATACTAATTGGTCCAAGCAGCATTTACAGAAGGCCTCATCATCTTTGGCTGAATAAGCTAACCGATGTATTTATGCGACCAAGTTCTTTGCAATTTTAAATTTCGTGATCCGGATGAAGGAAACTCGAAGGTATCGCAAGAAATTCAGATTTTTTTTTTGAAGCCCAACAATTGAGTCTATGCCATCAGCAGTTTAATTATTTATGAATGGGTATTGTTGAATTCAATGTAGAACTCACTGTAACTTAATGACAATCGTCCAACTAAATTGATGACGATGAGAAAGATAAATAATTATTGGAAGCGTATAACCTCAATTTACTTTTGGTTTGGTTTCAAATAAATCAAAAAAAAAATTTTTTTTTATATTCTAAAAGTATTTAGTGTCGAGAGTTTTGTTTTAAAATTTCATGACAATCGGAGTACTATATTGCAATTTAGAGCAGTGCAAAGTATACTATCTCCGCACACAACTATGATTTCAGCAAAAGACCGGTCGAACTCAGAAATTCACTTAACTTTGGAAGACTTTCATGTATATAAAGGTTTTTGAGGGAAGCCAATATTTCTACACTGTAAAAAAAGGTATATATTTACCGTTTTGGATGAGTAAGTTTGTGTTACTAAGTCTGAGATCGGTAAAAGGACAAGGACCGCAAAATCAAAGGAATCCATTTCTTGCCTTAGTAAATCTCTCTCATATCAGTCATTTAAAAAGTGGCGGTAGATTTGACGTAAAAATTTACCACTACAAGGGTTCTCTCTCTATTCTCTATTATTTTTCGTTGATTAATTTACCAAAAAGTAATTGTGGAATTTTTTCGCTTGGCTTTTCTATGCAATGGAGAGCCCGATTATATAAATATAAAGCTTGGTTTTTTTTAAAGTCATGTTATAATTAAGTTTGATACTTGCGAAAATAGTAGATCTAATGTTCTCAAGCTTAGCTTTCGTTGTGAGAACATGTTACAGCGTTCTACGTCACATATTTGTATAAACGCAAACGCTATATTATTCTGCACTATGCAATTTTTCTTGAAGAAATATCGATTTTTAATAACGGGCGATATTGCAGAAATAACTTATCATTTTATATATAAGGTTGTCAAATATCTCCCTTCCGCTTTTTTGCTCTTCATTCAATGCTTTATAAAAAGTGTTACAGTGATCGGATTTAGTTAAAATATGCGCCGTTTTGTTCGATGATCTGTTTCCATCTAGACGGCAACTTTATAATACCTTCCTCGTAGAAGCCCCCCTCCTTATTTGCGAAGAATTCGGACAGCCACTTTTCACAAGCCTCTTTTGAGTTCAACTTCACACCACCAACAACCAAGGGCATTCGCCATGGACAGGCACAGGTGGTAATCACTTGGCGCTACGTCCGGGCTATATGGTAGATGCGATAAAACCTCCCATCCGAGCTCCCGTAGCTTCTGACGAGTCATCAACGAAGTGTGTGGTCTGGCGTTGTCCTGGTGGAACACTACACCGTTCCTGTTGGCCAATTCTGGACGCTTCTGGTCGATCGCCTGCTTCAAGCGTTCCAGTTGTCCGCAGTAGATGGTAGAATTAAGCGTCTGGCCATATGGGAGCAGCTCGTAGTGGATGATTCCCTTCCAATCCCACCAAACACATAGCAAAACCTTCCTGGCCGTAAATCCCGGCTTGGCCACTGTTTGGGACGATTCACCGGCCTTCGACCACGACCGTTTTCGCTTGATATTGTCGTATGTAATCCATTTTTCGTCGCCAGTCACCATCCGCTTCAAGAATGGGTCGAGTTCGTTCCGTTTCAGCAGCATATCGCAGGCGTTGATTCGGTCCAGAAGGTTTTTTTTCGTCAAATTATGCGGCACCCAAACATCAAACTTTTTTTTGTATCCAGCCTTCTGCAGATGGTTCAAAATGGTTTGGTGACTAACTCCCATCTCATGCATTCCATGATTTGACTTGATCGGCATTTGTCGTCACAGGTCTTCCGCCGGCTGGCTTATCCATGGTGTCGTTTTCACCGGCTCTGAATCGTCGAAACCATTCCTCCGCGGTTCGAAGTGATAGAGTACCATCCCTCAAAACACCATTAATCTCACGGAACGTTCCTCTAGCGGATTTGCCTTTAACGAAGGAAAACTTTAAAATAGCGCGAATTTCGGCGTTAGTGAACTCCATGTTTACAGGTCTATAACTGTTGAACGCAATATCCAAATCATGCATAGCTTTGTTTTGTAGGTTATGTCAAGACCTTTCAA